TCTGGCAAACAGAGGCTAGGGACACTATTCCTGCCCATCCTGGCTAATAGCCATTGATGAACCTATCCCCCGTGAATTTCTCTAGTTCTTTTTTGAATCCTGTTATGGTCTTGGCCATCACAACATCCTCTGGCAAGGAGTTTCACAGGTTGACTGTGCGTTGTGTGAAAAAATACTTCCTTTTGTTTGTTTTAAACCTACTGCCTATTAATTTCATTTGGTGACCCCTGGTTCTTGTGTTATGAGTAAATAATACTTCATTTACTTTCTCGACTCCAGTCATGATTTTATAGACCTCTATCATATTCCACCTAAGTCATCTCTTTTCAAAGCAGAAAAGTCCCAGTCTTAATTTCTCCTCATACCGAAGCTGTTCCATACCCCTAATCATTTTTGTTGCCCTTTTCTGAACCTTTTCCAATTCCAATATACACCTCTACCTCAATATAATGCAGTCCTGTGGAGCCAAAAAATCTTATCGCGTTATCGGTGAAACCGTGTTATATCAAACTTGCTTTGATCCGCCGGAGTGCGCAGCCCTGCCCCCCACCCCACCCTCCGAGCACTGCTTTACCATGTTATATCAGAATTTGTGTTATATCGGGATGCGTTATATCGGGGTAGAGTTCTAACTTTTTAGAGAGGGGCAACCATATCTGCACACAAGTTTCAAAATATGGGCATACATACCATGGATTTATATAGAGTCAATATGATATTTTCTGTCTTATCTGTCCCTTTCTTAATGATTTTTAACATGTCACGGTGCTGGTGGAGTGGCAAGGGAAGTTTTGGCAGCCCCTGCAGTTCTGTGCTCCTAACAATATGTTTTAACATAAGTGGTGTGGGGCGGCAGCGGAGCCCCACATAAAACGTGGGGGTGCTGCAGCACCCCCACTCTCCCCGCACCCAGGGCTGCTGATTGGGGGGGGGGGAGGGAAGGGCAAAAGGGGCAGCTGCCCCAGGGCTCCCGGCTGCCGCTACTGAGGTGGGGGCCCCAAAAATGAAGCTGCACACAGGGGCCCACCAACTCTAAATCCGCCACTGTTTGTTTAGGTGCAAGACTACGCTGATTAGAAAGCAGCCTGACTCAGAGTAGAAATAAAAACAGCTGTAAAATTTTATATATAAATTATATTAATGGCAATCAAGTTCCCCTTTTTTCCATTTGTTATAATGACAAATGGGGAAAAAGGGGAAGTTAATAGAAATTAACATAAATCACAAGTTAGCAATGGTAGAAACTTAATACAAGAAGCAAAAGGACACAAAGAAATCTTACTGTCCTTTATTTCTGCTTGCCATAGGAATTGTTAAATACATTAGGAACAAGAGGAATCCTACAATGGTAACGGGTCCAACACTTGAGGAAATAGTGGCATTGTCAATAACTACACAGAAAAGGCAGATGTGTGTTTGATAAATAGTTCTGTTCTATGTTTGGGGGAAAAGTAAGATGGTATTTTCATATCATATGATTGTGATGAAATACTTTCCATTCCAACAGTAACTAAGGAAGATGTTAAACAGCTACTAAAGTTAGACATTTTTAAATCAGCAGGTCTGGATAATTTTCATCCAAGAATCTTAAGAGCTGGCTGGGGAGCTCTCTGGCCCCCTACTATTGATTTTGAATAAGTCTTGGAACACTGGGGAAGTTCCAGAAGATGGGAAGAAAATTAATGTTATGCCAGTATTTAAAAAGCATAAATGGGATGACCAAGTAATTATAGGCCTGTCAGTCTGACATGGATCCCAAGCAAAATAATAGAACGACTGACATGGGACTTGACTTAATGAGGGATAATATAATTGATGACAATCAACATGGGTTTATAGGGTGACAAAATCTGTTTTCTCACTGGATATCTTTTTGGATGAGATTACAAGTTTAGTTAAAAGTAGTAGTGTCAATGTAACATACTTAGACTTCTGTAAGGCACTTGATGTGGTATTTTAATTTGTTAGGAAACTAGAATGATACAAAATGAACATGCAACACATTAAATGGATTAAAACATAGCTCACTGATAGCTCTCAAAATGAAATTGTAAATGTGAGGAATCATCATCCAGCGGGTGTGTTTCTGGTGGAATCCCACAGGGATCGATTCTTCTGTTTAACATTTTTGTTAATGACCTGGAAGAAGCTATATGGGGATCAAAAATTTGATAATGGAGTGCTCTTCGATCTAACAGACGAAGGTATAACAAATTCTACTGGTACCTACATGGAAAAGAGATTTCTGAACATAGACAGCTCTTTAATCTACCAGAAAAAGTCATTACAAAATCCGATGGCTGGAAGTTGAAGCTAGACATTTTTAGAATGAAAACAAGATGCACATTTTAAGTGAAGGTAATTAACCACAGGAACAAATTACTAGAGATGTGTTGGATTCTCTGTCACTATAAATCTTTAAATCAGGATTGCATGTTTTTCTAAAGGATGTGCTCTCATTCAACCACAGCTATTAGACTTGAAGCAGGAGTTAATTCAGGCAAGTCCTATGGCCTGTGTCTTATAGGCAGTCAGACTGGATAATGATAATGGTGCCTTCTGGCTTTAAAATCTATGCATCTGTGAGAGCCCGAGAATAAAACAGTAAAGCATGGACAAGTTCCTCTCCAGTGCCCTGTAAATGTGTCCCAACCCTAGAGTTGGTTGGTTACATCCAAAATTAATTTGGGGAAATTGCCAACATGTTTTTGGTTCAAAGTGTTTTAAATTTAACCTAGTTTCTTTGTTTACTTTTGGGGGGTTTTGTTTTGTTTTTAATTTTTAGCAAAGACACTGTCAAAAAGATTACTGGAACTTTGCATTTACTAAAAACCTAAATCAACTATTTTTCTTTTACCAAAAAAACCTGACATTGGGAGAAAATCAAAATGGTTATTGACTTTTTTGGTTATGTTTCTGATTAGTTTTTGATGTAAAAAACACAACAAAAAAACAACCAAAAATATCCAAAAAGGCATGAAAGTGTTGATGTCAAATTTCAACAATGTCAACGAATTTTCACACAAGAAAATCATTTTAGAGACTCTTTGTTTTTACTACAAGAACATGTTCAAAAAATTTCAGCCCGCTCTACTCAAAGCTGAGGTAGAGGGACTCTCGCTCTGGACAAAAGAGGAGTCAAGTCTCCCTGGCTCCTTCAGGTTTGGCGTATTACCAGTCCCGGTTTACAGTGGCTCCATGGAGCCGAGCCCATTCTCAGAAGGCTGCTCCACTTGCACTGCTCCACTTGCACTGCTCCCCGAGACCCCTCTAGCTCCCCCCGCCCACCACTTGCTCCTCTTGGCCTGCCCGCCTGCTGCCTCCTCAGCCCCACCCCCCCGCTCCTCTCTGCCCCCTGTTCAGACCCCAGTGCACCTCTGGCTCCGGCAGTCTCTGCTTCCCACCACCTGTGGGGTCCCACCTGTCTCCCCAGAGGTGAGCTGCCTGGGACTGGTGCAGAAGCCTGGCCAGTCGCAGTCTGGGGATGGAGGGGAGGGGACAGTGCGGGGAGCTTGGCTGGGCCCCTCAAGGGGAAGTGCATCTTGAGGGAACCCGGCTGGGGCAGGCCCTGGCCTGGCTGATCATGACACTCCCGAGGGACCAGAGCAATTCCCCACCCCGGGACCAGCTCTGGCTGCACTGCCGGCTCAGCCTGGCAGACACAGTTGCCTCCCAGCAGGGCCAGTGAGTGCAGCTGGGAGCCAGGGCATGGGGGAGTGGGTTTCTTGCGGGGGAAGGGGTGCTGGGCTGTGAGGGGGCAGGGAAGATCTGTATGTTGGGGCACTAGGGAGTGGGGGTTCTGTGGGGGGTGCAGGCAGTTGTGGTAGGGCTGTGGGCAGGGGGGCGCTGGGCCAGGGTGGTGGTGTGCAGGGCACTATGCATTTGTGTGAAGGAGGTTTGGGGTGGGGGGGGTGCTGAGCATAGTGGGTCTGGGGGGCTCTGCCCATAGGGAGTCCAGAGGATGTTGTGGGGGGAGGGGCTGTGTGGCGTGGCATGTGCCCGCCCCCTGAAGGGAAGGGACAGGCTGGCAGCACAGGACCAGGTGGGCCCCTGTGTGTCTGGCAACTGCCAGTTTCTAAATCGTGCCCTCGCACTGGGCTGGACAGAACAGGGAGGCCCATGCCATGCCCCATTGCCCCTGGCTGGCCCCTTGCTCTGGGGATTGACCTCCCCGCGCCATGCTCCATTGCTCCCACAGGAGTCCATAAATAAGTTTGGCGCCAGGCCACAAAAGGTTAATCCGGCTCTGCGTATTGCCTTCTAATAAAGGGAGCATTTAATGTCAATTATCTGATTATGCGGATGCCAGGGCCGGCTCCACGCACCAGCCTGGCAAGCAGGTGCTTGGGGCGGCCGCTCCAGAGAGGGGCGGCACGTCCAGCTATTCGGCGGCAATTTGGCGGACGGTCCCTCACTCCTGCTTGGAGCGAAGGACCTCCCGCCGAATTGCTGCCGCAGATCGCAATCGCAGCGCTTTTTTTTTTTCCCCTTCCCGCTGTTTGGGTGGCCAAAACCCTGGAGCCGGCCCTGGCAGACGCTTGTCGACTAGGAGCTCCCGGATTATCACAGGCTACCACAGAGCTGTCCTGAGGTAGCAGCTGTCAGTTTCTATTAACCTAGACTGGATTTGAACTAGTACAAGTCTCTGGAGCCTGTCAGTCCCCAGGCCCTGAACTATTTCTTGCTCTGTATCACCCAGCATGCCAGGTTTGCAGGATGTAGGATCTTTCCCCCTCAAAATTGGAATAATCCCTGACATCCAAGGACATGTGACATCCCTAGCCAGCCCTGCCCCCAGTGCCAGCACTCCACCTATGCTTCATCACCCTGCAAGTCAGCCACATAAACCGTTCCTATTTGGGTTGCTGCCCCTAATACTCTACTGCCCTAGTAGGCAACGACCCAGCCAACCAACTTCTGCCTTATGTGGTTGAGGCTGCTTGTCCTTTGTGCTTGGCACGCAGCAGGGAAGATGTGGGGGAGGGAGGAAAAGGCAGCCTGAACAGCTGTTTATCTCCACTCTGATTCCTGTCAGCAGCAGGAGGAGGTGAAGAGCAATGACCTGGGTGTCACTAACACCACCATCACCTCTTGCATCACTAACCACAATGAAAGCATTTCCCCAGCATTAGCAAAAGCAGCAGCCACTGCCTTGTGTTTCCCAGTGTGGCATCAGCAGGAGCTTGCACCATGGGGCTCTCCTGCACGCACCACCTTCTCTTGATGCTGCTTGGTTTGTGGTGGCCAGGTTTGGCATGGCATCGGGTGGGAGCAGCTCAGGTCCGGGAACACTACATAGCCGCAGAGACTACCAGCTGGAGCTACAGACCCCAGTCCAAAGAACTGTCCAGGTAAGTGCGGGAAGATATGGAGGCAACCAGCCCCCTCCTGGGCTGAAAGGGACTTGAGTCTCCTGAGGAGTTTGTGCCCAGCTGGGCTTAGGGACTGATCCAGCCTATGGAAGTTGATAGAGTCTTTGCATTGACTCCAATTGGATGAAGCCCTTAATTCAGTTCAATGCTATCAGCTGTTTTATTCACACAATGTGATTTTTTTTAGCAGTTTTTATTGATGCCATTTTGATAAAGGCAAACTTGGGCTCACTCCCACATCCTCTGTACTCCCAAAACTCTCATTGGGGTCAATCCTACATTGAGGATTTTTGCATGAGTCTCTCTAGATTTGGTGTCTTCTCACAGCTTCCGCTCCTGCAGCTAAGTGAAAACCTCAGAATCTCAGCTTTCATTTCAACAATAAAAAAAAGTTTCTGGCCCCCACAGTCGTGTAGAAAAGCTCAAAGGTCACAAGGCAAATAAAAAAACCTCTCAACATTATCTGTTTAAAATCTCATCATTTGGGGGGAAATTTTGAGTTCTTTTTATTTGCTTTTTGGTCACACTCTCTTCACATTTTCAAGTTTTCTCTGCAACCACTAGAAATGTGCTGTTTTGTGTTTTTGTTTTTTTTTAAAAAGCTGAGATTCTCATGCAAACTTTTGATTCAAGTGACTGGGGCCTTAAGGAAAAAAACCCAAATATTGCAGAAATAACCCCAAAAAATCACCAGAGTTGGCAATACTACACCTATTTTTAAATAAGAAAAGGTCCATACAAAAAACACCATCAATTTTTAAAAATGTAAATGAATAATCTAGTTTACTTTCCTTATGGTTGCTTACTAAGTACATTTCTTCAGCAGAGGGTGATGAATACACAATAATCAGTTTCACTTTCAGGTTCCCATGGCAGCATTGACAATTTTTTTGTGATTAGTATTTTATTGATTTGTGTGTGTGTGTGTGTGTGTGTGTGTGTGTGTGTGTGTGTAAGTTAAA